TCGGTGAATTGTGAATCCTCACAATTTATGCGTGTACTCGGTGTGGGATTGAGGAAGGAATTCTAGCGAACAGATATAACGAGCACTACACTTTCGGAAATAATGGCCGTAGCCGTTGACGGGTTCAGAATCCATAAACAGTACCGCGTTTTCTCGTTAGGACTGGAAAGCTGTCATGCCACCCTACTCAGCCGCGCGCGACGTAAAACCGTGTTGCCTGTCAGGGGTGTGATAGGACGAACACAATACAACCATGCACGAGGCGGGACTCGAACCCGCGATCCTTCGTTCAGAGTTCGCTACGGCACTACTGGCTTAGCTACCTCGACCATCCGGACCAGCAAAAGGACTCTTGTTAATGGCTTGTGCAAAATTGCTCCGTGGTCCTGCTCCTCTGTCTCCTTTTTCTTCTCCTTCTCCTCCTCCTTTTTCTTCTCCTTCTCCTCCTCCTTTTTCTTCTCCTTCTCCTCCTTTTTCTTCTCCTTCTCCTCCTCCTCCTTTTTCTTCTCCTTCTCCTCCTCCTTTTTCTTCTTCTTCTTCTTCTTCTTCTTCTTCTTCTTCTTCTCCTCCTTTTTCTTCTTCTTCTTCTTCTTCTTCTTCTTCTTCTCCTCCTTTTTTTTCTTCTTCTTCTTCTTCTCCTCCTCCTTTTTCTTCTTCTTCTTCTTCTTCTTCTCCTCCTCCTTTTTCTTCTTCTTCTTCTTCTCCTCCTCCTCCTCCTTTTTCTTCTTCTTCTTCTCCTCCTCCTTTTTCTTCTTCTTCTTCTCCTCCTCCTCCTCCTTTTTCTTCTTCTTCTTCTCCTCCTCCTCCTCCTTTTTCTTCTCCTTCTTCTTCTCCTCCTCCGTTTTTCTTTTTCTTTTCCTCCTACCTTTTTCCTCCTTTTCATCTTTCTCGTCATCCATTGGGAGTGTGCTGGGCTGCCATGCGCACGCCGAGCGACCTGCGGCGCGCCGTCAAAGCTTCGCTTCGCGGCCGCTGCTCCTTTGACGCGCTTTGCGCTCGGCCTCGTGCTCGGCCCCGCCCCGCCCCGCCCCATTCGCGCCACAAGCCACGCGCCGACGCGACGCCAGAACGCTTCGTCTGCCCGGTGGAGACCAGAGATCGCAGGTTAATAGCAAGCAAGAGAAAACAGTCTGTGTCGCGTTGATTAAATTATCTGCCTCGATATGTATTCTCTCTGATAATGAAATAAAGAAAAAGAAATGTGCTTATTTTGTCGATATGTGAACGCTTTGATGTTGGATCGAATTTTGAAGCATAGTATTTTCAAATCTGCTGGATATTCTGCGAAAACAACTTTTGTATTTACAATGTCTCGCGATTGAGAAATTGCGAAGTTCAATTTCGTCCCATCCTTAGCATGGCTAAGGACTTGCACAGTTTCACATGTCTAAAGTTGTTGCTTGAAAATACGGAGACGATCTCACAATAATTGCGGTCTTTGAAAGCACTGCTCTAGTGGAGAATATATTTCGACCGATCGGTATCCCTTTTTGGCGTACTTTTTTCATTGTGACGACAGCATATGTGCCAACGATGTAAATAGGGAATGTGCTAACTGGGATTCCTATTACCACGCCAACAATGGTGGGAAAATGACCGTTTAGAGAGTAAGTGGGGGAAGATATCGATAATGTACATTTTTTGTCCTTAAATAATTCTATTAATTTTGTTAATTCGTGTACTGATAGTCGCTTGGAATACACTATTTGAATAAAAAGTGAAAAATCTAAACTCTGCGAATTTTTCGTGACAGAATAAAACAATACTCACCTAATATAATTAAAAAAACATACTTCTAATGGTCCTTAAAACGAAAGGTCGAAGAAGCAATAATATATCTTCCATTTACAAGAGAAATTAAATGGAAGAAAATGTGTAATGGCACATTTTTGTGAAACGCTTTTGTGTACACGCTTTCAATTGAGTTCTCAACAATCTATCTCAATTGGTCTGGAGACTTCACAACTGTACCAAACGTTTGGAGCCCCTCTCCCATGCTACAGCGAAGGAAGTGGGGAAAACATTTAAATCATTAAATTAAATTCTTATTATGAATAAATATACTTTTCAAGAAGTAACGCTAATTAAATACTACAAAAATTTTGAATAAAAATAGAGAATTTTTGGCAATTCCTACAAAATTTTCTAGCATTTTCCTTAGGGTTCGACATTTTAAATTGTTATTTTAGTGATGCACAGAATTTACAAGATTACCAGCCTACCGCTACACTATGGCAGCCTTTACCCGGAGCCACTAGATAGCACCAACGAAGAACGCCAGACTTTTTCTCATGCAGACCTAATCAACGCCACTGAAAAGGACGATTCGTTAGTCACCGCTGTGGGCAATGGTAATGCAACCAACCTCAGTGACACTTCCAAGTGGCCTGATAAAAATGGCTGCCATTTTGAACTGATGTTGCATGCAGTGGCGCAGCAGCACTGTGCCTTGTGAATACCTTCATTTAAACCAAATGCTTTACAACCGGCAACGCGGCTCGGAGGCGCTGGTGAGTGGCTTAGTCGGAAGGGGCTCTGATGTCGGTGGAGCTTCCGAATGGCGAAGTGTGAAGATCGCCAAGTGGCAGAGAATAGGAAATGCGTCCACACCGTTGATGGCCCGGAGTGTTCCAATAAACGCTCATGCGAGTACCTGTATTTAAACCTACGCTTTGCAGCCAGAGCGCCGACCGCAAGCCCTGCCGAGTGGCTCAGTGTGAAACCGAAGCGGCGGCCGGCGAGCTGCACGGCGCGGCGCGGCGTAGGTGAGAGCGCGGGCGTTTGGGCGGGGCCGTTGCTTGTTTGCCTTGCGATCTATTTTTTGTGGCGCGAGACGAGCGCTCGGCCTTGGGAGCGACTGGCCAGTGGCATCCAAATTTATCCCCTTCGTCTGCTTGGAGGCTCCTGGATGACGCGTCCTTTTATTGCCCTAGGTCGCCCACGCCCCGCTCCTCTCGTTCCTCTTCTCCAAACATCGGTGGCCCTCGCGGGAACCGGAGGCGGTGCGCGGATTTGCGCCAGCTTCCGGGAACCGGATGATGGAAGGGAAATGTATTGAAGAAACGAATTTTTAACTTCATTGGTTCTCGATTTCAATTTACCTGCACGCCTGTTTCATGTGAAATATTAAATGCATTCTGGGAATTAACTTGATTAAAGGAATACTAAATCGAATGGTCTCGATTCGCGTGTTCCTGGACTACGTCATTTGCCTTTTATGATTCGTATCCGGTTCTTTGCTATTTCGAGAGTTCTGTGAAAGTTATACATTTTTAAACGGTGTCTGCGCGGTTGTAATGTTTCTCGGGATATCACCCGGGATGAACTCGCTTTCACTTATAGTGTACTACCGGCTGCTCCGTCACAATATTCGTTACCTTTTGCAGCGTGTCTGACCGGGAGATTTTTAGGGTTAGAATTCCGACAGTGGCAGATTTTAGAAACGTAATTTTGTACCTAAGTCGAAATCAGATTGCCACTTGTATATGAAGGAGAATCCATGCGGCTGCTCTGTTAGGTAGTTTTCCGTGTTTTCTTTTTTACATCAAAACCTGGCGAATGATGGGTATTACTTTATCAAAACAGTTACGGACTGCACTACACTCTCATCTTCGTGCGATCAGTCGGGAGCTTAGATCTGGGATGGCGCCCCAGCTGGGGGAGGTACCTGGATGGAGAATCCTGGAATCCTACGTTTCCTTCGGCGCTCGAACGCACGTACCAGTGTGAAAGAACCCCGACATTTCTCAACTATAACATTCACTACATTCACGGAACTGATTATACAACTAACCGTACTGAGTGTTTGACATCCCCGGATGCACTCATATTCGCTCACATCTAGATCAGGTAGCTGAAAAGATGCCATTGAGTAAAGAAACACCAATATTGTTTCTTTACATACGTTCTTTTAAAATCTGTATTAACATTCATATTGCCTGCTTATGATTGCTTCTTCCGTTTACCTCGTTTTAATATTTTAGGCCCCATAATTTCCGTCAAGGAACCTTGCAAGATATTATACAGCTAAAGGTAAAACAGCTCACTTAAAAATTACTTGCAAGAACTTGACGGATGATTACAATAGTGAAAGCATCGTTCTTATTCACGGTAAAATGGCTGATAGAGTTCGACCCTTTGCATGGATAAGCAACCAGTAGCCAAGCCCCCTTCCTCATGATAATCATCTGTTGACGCTGGCTGCGACTGGGGCGCGCCCTACTTCTCGCCCTTGGCGCCAGCTGCGGCGCGCCCTCGGCGGCGTGAAGGGCAGCGCGGGGCGAGATTGATGAACCGCGCGGGAGAAGAGCGTGGCGGAGCGGGGGCGGAGCGGGGCGCTGGCAAGCGGCGCTTGCGGAGGCTTTGTGTCCGCGGCGATTGTTCCTCTGACGGCGCAGAAGAGCGCTCCAATTAGCAGGGGCGGCTGCAGCGAGTGGACAGGAGGGGACGGGGAGGCGAACAGAAGACAAAAGGAAGGAAGGGAGAGAGGAGGACAGGGCTGGAGAGAAGGGGACGGGAAGGAAGAGAGGAGGGGATGAGACAGGGAGGCGATCAGGAGAGGAAAGGAAGGAAGGGAGAGAGGAGGACAGAGCAGGAGAGAAAGGGACGGGAAGGAAGGGAGAAGGGGACGAGACGGGGAGGCGATCAGAGAGGAAAGAACAGGGAGGAAGAGCGGTGGGGTTGATACGGGGAGGAGGCAAGGAAGGGGATGGGGAGGCGAACAGAGGAGGAGAGGTCGCGGAGAAAGAGATGAGGAGTCAGGACGGGAGGAGGGCAGTGCAGGAGAGGAGGGGACGAGACGAGCAAGAGAACAGGGAAAGGAGGGAATGAGGACATCTCAGAAGAGACGGGACGGGGAAGAGAACGGGACGAGGATGAAACACCGGGTTAGAGGAGGTGAGGAAAAGTGTAGGAGAGGAGGAATAGGATGGGGAGGAGGAGAGGGCAGCAAAGGAAGTACGGGGAAGACGGGGCAGCAGGGGAGTAGATAAGGAAGGGGCATGGCTGGACAGGAGGGAACGATGACGGAGGAGGAGGAAACGAGAAGAGGAACAGAGCAGACGGAAGGGGAAGAGCACTTAGCAGAAGAGGAGCAGGACGGCGAGGTCCGGTCAGCACAGGTGGGAACGGGAGGGGAAGAGGTCAGGGGAGAAGAGGAGGGTCTTGCCAGGAGGAGGACAGGGCAGTAAAAAAGGGGACAGGTAAGATGAGATGATCAGGGAAAGCCGGATGAGAGAGGGGGACGATTGTACGAGTGATGGCGTCTAAGGGAGAAGAAAGGCGAGAAAAGGAGGGTGGGCGTAGGGATGGCGAAGGAGTGATGGCTACGCGGCGGCGCGTCCTGACCCAGCAGAGCAGATCGATATCTCGAAGCCTTATGATCGCGGAAGGCGCCAGTTGAGAGGGAAGAGGGAATTTGCACTTAGCAGTAGGGCGGAAGTGCTTGAGAAATCAACTCCGCTGCTATTCAAAGCGCATGTTTATTCATTAGTGTAAATGTCCATTGATCGGGAACATTAAAATGTTGTATTGGTCATTCTTGTCATCGTTCCTATGATTCTTGAGTTATTTCGCAATTTACAATAACATTCAAGAGCCAAACGTCGGTAAAAGTGTAAAATAATTTAACATTTTCAAGACTGTTGTATTTGTTTTTTATCGTGTTAAGCTTCCATACGCAAAGGTTTTTTGTGTTTCTAATTACTATGCATTGAATACAACGAATGTGTACAGTATGAAAGAGACTTGCTTACATAAAAGAGTTTTTAATAATTCGGGAAATGACTCTTTGTCTGGTGCGTAACAGGCGAAAATTCATTCTCCGAATCATAAACACAGATGTGTATAATGTAAATTCTTCCCCCATATGCGATTACCCCATTTCTAATATTTGAACTATGAAAATGTATCCGCTAAATTAGAATATTTTTGGTGTTATTGTATCGAGGAACATGCTTCCTCATATCAGAACCCCTCTATATTTCGTCACATCAGAACATCGTGTTGTATCTTAAATATTCGTCCACCGTCTTATAACACCCTCTGCAATCCACGCATTAGTAGAGAGATCGCCAAACGATCGATCTCAAGCTACCAGTAGCTCGAGAGAAAAAAATCAATAGACTCTGCTAGTCTAACTTCCAGAAGCTTGAATGAGCTCAGTTGGATAAATCACGAAAACAGCGGTTCGCAAACCCCCCATCAACTGTCACTATTAACCTCAAAATTTGACTGTGTAAGCATGAGGTTACCTCGGTTACGTTTTACGTGAATACTTCCGTCATTTGTTAATGTGAATTGTTTGATGACAGTGTGCGTTTCCGTTCAACCGATTTATCACAGAAAGATTTTAAAAAACGGAACGTTTGCTGTTAAGCTGCGCGAGTTTGCCGTCCATTGGTCTTTTGTAGTATCGAGAGCGGAGCCCGACGGCCGAGTGGCAGCGAACGGAACGGCCTGTTAACCGGCGCCTCGCCTCCCCTCCCCTCCCCTCTCCACCCCGCGCCCGGCGCAGCCTCCGCAGCCGCCCGGGGTCGATTCCCGGCCGCGGCGCTGACGTCATCGCGAGCGCACGTGGCGCGACCGCGGGGGCAGAACGCGCTCAGCGTACGGCGAAAGGGGAGTGGGGGAGGGAAGCGCGGTTACTCTGCGCGGCGCAGTTGGGGGTAATTAAATGTACACACAAATAAAAGCAGAACTCGGTAACGGAGGTCGCCTAGTTTCCAGCGTTCCTGGGGAGGAGTCCATAGGTGTTTTCGCATGGCTATCGATCTTTTATAAGCATCCTTTTGCATTTGAGGGGTTGTGGGAAGGAACATGATAACCTACAATTTATAAATGGTGAGAAAAGTTACGAAAAGTGCTATGCATAGATATTTTCGATGCCGAGAAATCTGTGTTGCGTCCATAGGTCTTAGGATATGTCTCTGGAGAAAATTCTGATAAGTGATTCTTACCATCAGGTTCTGAAATAAAATCAAGTTTTAGCGTTGATTTATTATTCACAGGAGCCTGGTCATGTGAATTGCCATGTTCTTGCCACTAACCCCTTTTTTTGTTCTCCTAGCAGCAAATTCTTGTTATCGATTAGACAGGAGTAGGAACCTCTCCAAAGCATTGTTTAAAAATCCCAATGAACACTCAGAACGGGTGTAAACTGAAAGAAATTGGTGTAAGTTTAGTACTCCGTACTTTCTATTGAACGTTTCAACCTTGAAAGAGATGGAACCGACAATTAAAGCAATCAGATTCGCTTTGCATGTCAATGCACTCAACGTTTGCGATCTTGGTATCCGAATTCAGCATTCTCTCCACCTCAAACCACAATTCAGACAAAACAGAATACAGTAACTACTTGGTAGTCCGGAAGACGCTTCGTCCTAGGTACATGTGTTAACGTTTTGGTCATAATTCTGTCACCTTCCTCAGGACGAAATACCCCAAAATGCTGAGAAAGGTCGTAGAATGGCGGTCAAATCGTGGCACCTCTGCCTAGAAGGCGACATCTCTCGGTTAGCCAAGTAGTTACTGGCTCCAACCGCTGAAGCCTACGCTCTCATAAATAAAATACAGGTATCTCCACGTGCACTAAATAATCGAATTTCATCAACCTTTAAATATTTTTACCCGGGTCTTCCCCTATCTCTCTTCTCATTTCAACACATTCATGGCTTCTCCTTTTTTCCTCAAACTTTCCTCTCCCCCTCCGTGAAGTGATCCGCAGCTGATTAGCGAGTGTCGCGCCGCAGTGCGTTACGCAGATTCCAGATTAAAAAGCTGCACAAACAAGATATTTTTAATGAGCCATAAAAGGCGCCCGCTGCGATGCAGGTATATTGCAGTACTGCCGCCAGGTCGTAAACGGTCTTATCTGAATATTATTAATATCGACTGGCGTAAGGGCCCAAGGCAGGAGAGACACGTAGAAAGGGAGAGTGCGCAGCGGGGACGAAGAGGCGGGTGGGGCGAAGAGGCGGGAGGGGTCGAAGAGGCGGAGAGTTACTGTCAGCGGGGGCTCCGTGGATAGGCAGGGCCAGGACTGGGGACGAGTATTTGTTGCCGTCCCGCTAGGCAACGTACGCTGCACATTAGCGCTGTGTTAACATCCGGGCCATATGGCAGCAAATCAGCGTATCGCTGACCACGCTGAGATTAATGGTTCACCGGCAGACATTGCGAAGAGAACTTTCTTTGCAGTGGTTTTTATTAATTTTTATCTCTATAATTCTATGTCTCAGAATAAATGTTAAAAAGTTCTGGAGCAAGTTGGGATCGAAAATCCCTTGTTTGCGGTTGAACATGTGTGCGAAATTTCGGGTTGGGAAGTTACACAAGTGAACATCTACCCCTTGTTGTTAGGAATCTCTTGATGGTGTGTCCGGCTGAGGTGAATCAGGGCATCGATTGATGCCACTGCGGTGCCTCTAGCCAGGTCCTAGGGTTGGAGTTCCGAGACATGGCCAGATTTTCGAGTGTAACTATGTAGCTAGGTCGAAATCATCTTCTCTCTGGAGGAGAATGCTAGCGGCCAGCTGCTCTGATTGGTAGTTATTCGTGGTTTCTCCGGCCAACACCAGTCGAATGCCGGTACAGTACCTAATTAAACTAGCCAAGCCCCGCGCGCAGTATTTCCTCCTATCCTTCCTTCCACTCACACTCTTGCATGCATTACACTATCACACGTGCCGGGTGGCCAATCGGGAGCTTAGAGCTTGTCCTGGTTGGGGAAACCCGCGCAAGTGGACGGGTAGGTCTGCGCCGGATGTCGCCCTTCAGCGGGGAAGATCACCGCCACCTCCCGCTGTATAAAAATGCACTACCCTTACGGGAGTAATGACCATAGCAGTTGACGCTCCCGGAAATATTAATCCATGAATCAATCAATCGTAATACTGTTGTGTTGTCAGGCCAGTTATAGATTTTCTGCAGCTGCAGGATATCATTATACGACGAGTTTCCTAACAGACAAGAGTCACTTAAGTGTGACTTGTTCTATGAAATCCTCTACATGTTTATTGATAATACGTGATCATCTTCTATATCCTAATTGTACAGAAGTTTATTATGTTTTCTCTGAAACACACTATGTACAGTGTCCGCAGACAATCTCATACAATCCAAAAATAATTTTAGACTAACAAATCCACAACTCTGACGATGAAAATCCTTAACTTTCTTCTCTCGCCGCATCCGGTTAAGAATCCAGACAATGGAGAGCGTGAATTGGATGTTCGCCCATTGCTGCTAGCAGGAAGAGGGAAGAGCTTCGACCTCTGAATACCCGACCTCTCCTCCTCTCGGCCCTGCCCTCGCCGCCTCGTCGATACTCCGGCTCTTCACCCCGTGCCGCCCGCCCGCCCGCCCGCTGAAATGCCGTTGGGCGCCGTTCTGGCTTATGAATTTCGCGTCAAAAGGCCCGAAGGTAATCGATGTGTTTGTTGTCGGAAGCCCGAGGAAAATAATCTGCCCGGGCGTCGTGTTGCGTGTCATCTGGCAAACGGCAACAGCTGCGCAGAAATGATTTCAGGGATCGGCAAAGAGCTGGCTCGCTCGACGCGCCCCCGCCCGACACTCACCGGCAGCTGTTTCCCGTGTATTATTGAGCGTTTCGGAATGATAGGTTATGCATTGAGGCCGACGGATAACTGCGAAGCAAAGCTAGGACTCGTGGAGAGAAGAGTTATCGGAGAAGCGGGACAAAGTGGGATACGAATGGTACACGAGATTAGTTATAGATAACTCACTCTGCTGGATTCTAGTTTTCGTTCCAATTGAAGGATTCAAGTTAAAAACATATGGCGTCTCGTACACCTGTAGCTTGAACGTTTCTCCGCTCCCCAGACGTTTGACGAGATGTGGACGAGTTGCACCTCACAAAGAATGAGTATCCCATCTATATTTAGTATGTTAAGGAAATACGACGGTTTTGTACTAGTTGTGAAAGTCGGCACAAAACTACGTGTTGTTCTGCTGGATAGGAAATAACCTCTACCTACTGCATTAAACAGATTTGGGACGAAAAAAAGTAAAGTTTATGTATAATTTTTCAAATTTTTTACGTCATAAACGGTGAAGAACTGCGTGTGATGTTCGATGGGAAGAAGTGTAATCAGTACACCCT